ACTCAAGATGATCCCTTCCACAACCTTGGCGAGAACCGAGGTCAGGCTGACAGGCCTGTCGTTCCCTGGATCGTCTTTCCAACCCTTCTTGTAGATGGGCGTTACGTTTCCTGGTTTCCAGTCTGCTGGAACTTCTCCAATTTACCAGGACTGCTGGTAGATGACTGCAAGAGACTTGGCAAGTTCTTTTGCCAGTTTCCTCGTTACTCTGGGGTGAATCTCATCAGGGCCCATAGACTTATGAGAGTCTAATTGGCACAGCAAATTACTAACCGTCTCCTCCTGGATTATGGGGGCTTCACTCAGCTCCCTGACATTAACATCCAGCTCTGGAGGTTGGGTGTCCTGAGGACAACTGGTCTTGGTATAGAAGACTGAGGCAAGGAAGGCATTGAGCACTTCGGCTTTTTCCTCACCCCCTGTCACTACACTACCCTCTGCATTCAGCAAATGATGGAGACTCTCCCTGACCCTCCTTTTGCTGCCGATGTATTTATAGAAACTTCTTTTGTCATCTTTAACTACAGTGACCAAATCAAGTTCTAATTGAGCCTTGGCCCTTCTAATCTTCTCCCTACATGACCTCACATCATCCCTTCATTCCTTCCAAGTTACCTGACATCCCTTCCAGAGATGATACGTTCTCTTTTTATCCCTAAGCTCCCACCTAAGTTCTCTGTCTAACTAGGCCGGTCTTTTTCCCTGACGATTTGTCTTTCTACACACGGGGATGGCCTGTTCCTGAACATAAGTAATTCCTTTTTAAAGCATATCCAGCTTTCCTGGTCTCCTTTCCCCTTCAGGACTGTCTCCCAAGGGACTCTATCAGTCTCCTAAACAGGCTAAAGTCTGCCCGCCAGAAGTCCAAGGTGGAAGTTCTGCTGGCGGCCCTCCTTACTTCACCCAGTATTGGTCCATTGTAAGTTATTAATATCCAGCAAAGAAAATTAGTACACTTGTACCTATGCTAGACTTATAGCTAAGTGAATGTAAGAAAATTAGTGTCCTTAACATAAACAATAAGAATGGAGCAAAAAAAATGTTAGTATATATATGTATTTTACCCTTGTGTGTCTATAAGGGTTAATGATACCAAACTAATGCTTTATCATAAGTAACACAGTCAAATTGTTCAAATATAGGTCAAATAATCTTTGTTGAGTGGGATGAAGTCTTGTCACTCTTTAAATTAAAAAAAAAAACAACAAACCACAAAAAACCCCAAAACAAACAAAAAACCCAAAACAAAACCATGAAGAAACAACAAAAAAACCCACCCCACAACAAAAAAAAACCAGCCGCCAAACAAGTGAAGTTTGTGCATTTCACATAATTGAGAGTTGGCCATTTTTAATTCATTGTGTGTTCCACGTTTTTAGAGGCTGCTGTAGCAGGATCTGTTTGGACTGTGGGCTTGCAGCCTGGGTATGTAAAATGGGTATTTGCATGATACCTCCCCTGCTGAAGTATTTTGGTGCAGGTGGGGAAGCTCTGTTCAAGTCAGATGCTGCAGACTTGCCGTTGAGGTGGTGTTTTGTTGCTTTGTACTACTTTGGGTATGATTACTGTGATGTGGTTCTTCGTGTGCTCTTGGTCAGCACAGATGTATCTGCTGCCATCAGGATCAACGCTGCCCACTCTCTTCTTACTGCCAGCACCTTTCTGATGGCAGCTGTATTCACGGGTGAGCTACCTCTGGGAAGTGATCTGGCAGAAAGCTTATCTTTCATTTTTTGGTCAGGTGAACCTCCGTATTTATCAGTTTTCTGTCTTGGTTCATTGCATGATAGCTGGTGTTGGCACAAGCAAGGCGGTAGGAGCGTGGCTTACTGAGGAGAGAAACTAGTGGAACTGCTTGTTTTAGTGGTAAGGCGTGCCTGTGTCAGCTTAAAATGTCTGTGGAACCACAGCCTTAATTTAGTTAGCTAAATGAAATTAGTTAATTAAATTAAACCCAATTTAATGTAACTTAAAAACAAATTGCATTTCTGTAAGTTAATATAAACTCAGTTCCTAGGGGAGATCAAGTAAACAAAAGCAAGTCCCTCTAACAGGTACTGCCATTGAGAGTGGTTAAAGTGGCAGAGGATGTAAACTAGGATGTTGGTTTTAACGGCAATTAGCAAGCCAACAAGTTCTGAGCATTCAAGGGAGGTAAACGTCACTGGTAGGATCACCGGGGCCCTGTCCAACAGTGCACTGTGGAGAAATGCCGAAGTTTTGGAGTAGGAAAACTAGATTCATCAGTCAGTCACAAGAATCTCCTGGGAATTACCAGGAGGAGGGGATATAGATGATCCATTTTTAACTACATGAACTAACAGATCAGTTATTCTTAAACCACTAACTAGTAAGAGGTCATCTGAAATGCAGTGCTTTCTGTGGCTGAGTCTAGTTCTTCACCAATTGTTGCAGGCGTGAATGAATGCTGTGGCAGGGGCAGAAACAGAGGGTGGTGATGGATAGTTACATCACATGGCACGTGAACCACCTGTGTCTTGTGGTGGCTTTTGAAGCCAGCAAGCTGCCGTACTAGAGGCCAACTCCAGGATGAAAAATGACTTTTTCTGGAACCAGTACAGTTTACTCAGTGCTTGGGAATGGAAGAAAACTGGTGATTAAGGATGTCCCTGACAGTATGTTTCAAAGGGCAGTGATAGATGAACTTCAGGGAAGGAGGAAACTTCCATGAGTGTCCCAGAGCTGTGGCGAGCCAATGTGGGAGTCGATGAACTCCTTATGACTACATGCAGTAGTTAAAGGAAGAGTGATAGCCTCACGTTTCCTGAGACTCATACACCTCCACGGGCTGCTGAGACTCCATGGCCTTCCAGTCTGCATTGAAACAGGAGGTGGAACACAAGTATTGCTTCCATTACTTCAGTGTCATTAACCTGCAGCCTCTGTGTAAACGCCATTTCTTTGAAAGCGAACTATATTGATAACTACATGTTGTGACAAATAGTATGAGAAGCATTGCTAGCAAAAGAAAAGCATTGCTAGAAGGTGTGAAAAGCAGGATATGTGACAAGGGCTACTACTGTTCTCACAGTACCAATGTCTTTTTGTTGAAGAAAATGAGACTGGATTTATTTGGTGTAACTTGTTCCTGGCAAGTACAAGTTGGATACTTTTTGTCATTTTGATTATTTGTCAAAATATTTTTGTAGAGTTGATACTCAGGGTGTAGTTTTTGGTTTTTTAATGGTAACAGTTTTCTTCCATTTTCCAGTTTTTCAGCACTTTGCTTGTTATTCCTGAAGTCTCAAAACGACTGCTAAGAGAGCTGATGTTTTATCAGCAAATAATTGAGTGCTGTGTATGAAGTTAGGTGAATTTGGCATGTTATTTGGTCGGTGGTTCACAGGGGCAGATGAACCGATACAACAGCCAGAAGGGGAAGTTTCACTTTTATTCCCTGTTCCACTTCTGGTTGCATATACCCTTGGGTGTCTTGAACTGGTCCAGATGCTTAGTGGGTACCTCTGCCAAACTGGTTCAGCTTGGTAACGATGAGCAGTGAGAGGGAGGGACTCACCTGCTTTCAGCTGAGATGCACCATAGGGTCACAGTGCAGTAGTCTGCCTTCTGTGTTTGAGATGGAGAACTCGCCTTCGTATCGCTAAAATTCACAATGCATTCCTGAGGATGCTTGATCTTTTAAGTTGCTTGTCGATGGAATGATTGGGCTTTTTCTTTTCTTCTTGCTAGTCTTAGTGTCTCCTGCGGGTTGCATCTCACTTGAGCCTGATTTTGTTCTGAAAGGGGGTTCAGGAAGGTGCATGGTTCAGGAACTTTCAGTGACTCTTCTTTCCTCATTGTGCACATGAAGGCAAGTTTACTGGCACTGCTTACAGTTTACAGGTGAACAGCATCATGTCTTCTCTGTCCTAGGGATCCTGCTGCTCGCTAATATTTTGGTTTAGAAAAATTGACTTGAAACACTTTGTTTGCAGGGGATTACTGGATTATCTACGGACAGGTAGTAGGTTGACTTTTTTTGGGTGTAAGATCACCATTTGTCTGAAGGTAAACAAGCAGTGCCTTTTCTGGACTTTAATGTTCTGTGCATTCTCACGTCATCTGTGAGAACATGGTTAAAAACCTATTCTTTGGAGTAGAGAGACCTGCTTTATTGTTAGGAGAGCTCTTCCAAAATGATGGGAGTACTTGCTCAAGAAAAATTTGGCCACATCCCTTGAGCAGAGTTGTTTGAATGTGATTTCACAGTGTACATTAGGACTGTAGTAGTTTTGTAGGCTCTGAGGATGGTCTTGGGCCAGGAGAAACTTCTGCAATTTCCTTTCTGGTGAAAGTAGTAGTTTATGCTTAAGAGGTCATTGAATTACAGATCGTAGTGGAGGGAAAGCGCAGTATCAGGCATAATTTCGCACGAGAAGTACAAGCTACCAAGGTTGGACTTGCCTAGGAGAACTCTGGAGTTTTGCAACTTGGGTGAGTAAGAGGTGGAGTCAGACATACTCAGTCCACATTTGGGCAGTGGTCAGTGCTATGTGAGAGCAGCTTTTTCCCAGTGTTGGAAAGTGAGGTGGAGTTAAGGAGTGTGAGGGTTACAGCTCGGCTGGGACAATTGGCCGTGTTTCCGCATATGGCTGATGTGATGCACTGTTGGTGCCAACACTCGGTGCTCCCAGGTGGCTCTGCTGGGACCATACGGGAGAAGTTGGAGCAAAGCTTACAGGAGCTGAAGGTGATACGTAGCAGACTGGTTTCATCGAGTGCAGCACTGGTACGTGGCAGCTAGTTCATTGATATTTGGTGGGTTACTGTTCAGCTCTTTGAAGAGGATCATGTGGCAGTCACCCCAGGTACTGTAACGGTCTGTCTCTTCTCTCAAGTGCGTAGTCCTGGCCTGGTGATGTTTTTAATGCAGTTTTACAGAACTGTGACTTGAGAAAAAGAAAAAATCTGAGTCAGTTTTTTGTCTCAAAACTTTTGATTCCTACAGACTGCCACTGGAGAAGCAGGATCTAATGTTGTGAGCTGTAGTTTCAGTCTAATATATGGGTGTTAATTGTTAGAGGCAGAGCTGTGGGTCACGTGCCCAAAGACAGCTTCTTAAATAAAGGTGCCGTGCAATTTGTGTTATTGAATTAATATTATTAATAATTCCACTTAATACATAGTTGCAGCCCATTATTATTAATTGCTTCTTGAAATAAATTTTTATAGTATGTTTACAGCGTGTGTGTTAGGCCAGAGAAGCCTCCTGACCAAGTGGTGCTGTCAGAGTTACTACAGTGGAGCACCATCTCTTCTGAGAGGTAGCAGTTTGCAGCTGAAAATGGTAAGGGACTGCTTCTTAGCATTTTTCAGCTGTAGGTGCCTGAGTTTCCATGCGTAGCCAAATAGATCAAATACTGGTAGTGGTTTGGCTAATTTACTGCATTGGAACACAGAAAGAGTGGTCTTGGGTTAGTCTGAGATACAGAAAGAATATGCTGCTTACTACTTCTTTGTGAACTGGTCAGATTGTGGGAGAGAAAATAGTATAATTTGCTTGAAAGGTTTTTTTTGGCATTTTTATTTTGCTCCTGGGCTTCCAAATTTTTGTTTTAAGGTCCTTTCAAAGCACACTGGGAAGCTCAGTAGCAGAGGTTTTCTTTACGTTAGCGCTCAGATATAGCCATGAGTTAAGAGCATTAAGGTAAGGTAGTGCTATTTGTCTAATAAGAATAGAATGTATTTCAACAAGCCTTCGCTGCTGTCAATACAGTAACTTGTTGATTGAATTATTTGGAATGTTGTAGTTAGTGTTTCACCTCCTCAAGGTTTTATTAGGTACAATTAATGTTTCATATTAAGAATTCTTGCTGTTTTATGCAATTTGCTCATACTTGTTGTAAAATTTAGTTTCTGCAGTGTTACCTGAATGATAACTTCCTTCTACATCTAGTATGACCAGAAACTTTGTCTACATATGGAAAATGAATAGCGCAATCTGTAATAAAGACATGAGCGTTGCTGTAAAGTTTGGAACTTACTGTTTGGAGGGTGTGAAGGAATATTCAGGCTCTAAATCAAGAGTTAAGTTGGTTTTGGAGAAAAAGTAACAATTCTCACAGGATTGGTCTAGCATTTTTACGGTTTGTTTCACAGTTATGTGAAGGGGGAAAAAAAGGAAAAAGTTTAGTCTGATTATTTTAAGACTCTAGGTTTGTTGAACTATTTAAAAATGGGCAACTGAAGTTATATTGGAACTTCAGTGTAAGTGCGTTTTCTCCAAGTCTGGGATTTGATTGGAAATTACCTTCATTGCTAAGGATTTTACCATGGTATGCTGGAGGAGCTGTATTATAACAGCATTAAGAAGCATTTTTGCGCTTGCCTTGCAAAGATATCTTAAAGTTTCTATGCCTTTATGGTAATTTTTTAAACTAAAGCTTTTTTGCTGTCGCCACTTCAAGCCACTTAAAATAAAGTGAAACTTCTTTGATTCCCCTTGTACTGGAAGTCAGAGACAAGCGACTTCGAACCACTGCCTTGCAGCTGTTATATGGGGAAACTTTATAGCGTAAGGAAAAAAGTGTTGTGTCAGAGATGTGCTAATCTGAAATGTTATCAATTGTTTCTGATTTCTAACTGTCAGATGCATGCTTCTGTGTTTCCATACTATGTCATTTACCAAGAATTTAAATTATTTTTTTTGTGCATGTATATTTTTGTTTCAGCCTTTAATCTGGACAATGAACAGCCAGATTACGATATGGACTCTGAGGATGAAACCTTACTGAACAGACTGAATCGGAAGATGGAAATCAAGCCGCTGCAGTTTGAAATAATGGTTGACAGACTTGAAAAAGCCAGTTCTAGTCAGGTATTGTACTGTGTTAAGAAATCAGTGATTTTTTTTGGTTTCTGAGTTTTCTGGTGGGGTGATTCTGGGTGGGGTTTTTGTTTGTTTTTCAGTTTGTTTTATTTCCTACCAACAGGATAAGTGTGTTTGCGTGAGTCTGCAGTTACACAGAAATCACACTGTTGTCTCATTGTCAATATTGGTAACTTAGAAAAAACAGGTGGGGAAGGAGCTTTTGGGGGGAGTTGTCTTCAAATTTTGATTCCTGACCACAATGTCTTAGAGAGGACAACTTGCAGCATCTTCTTTTACCTGCTTTGGTATGGAAGAAGCTTGGGGTGATCGGTAGGTGTATAGATTTGGCTATAAACATACATGAGAATCCACATTCTTTGTTTCACTTGCTACTAGTGGACATTGACTTCAGTTGACGTTTGAAGGTTAGAAATTTATAAGCGCGGACAGCGAAGCAAAGCATTTAAGACTGGACCCTTGTAGTAGAAACTGCACAGATGGAAGAAAGTAAGTTATACTCCAGGTCAGACTCGGAGACGGTTTTCTTGCTTTAGAAGCAAGCATGTGCTGTGTGTAGGGCAACAAAGGTGGTGAAGGGTCTAGAGGGTAAGTCTTATGAGGAATGGCTGAGGGAGTGGGGGTTGTTTAGCCTGGAGAAGAGGAGGCTGAGGGGAGACCTGATCACACTTTACAACGACCTGAAAGGAGGTTGTAGCGACGTGGGGGTCGACCTCTTCTCCCAGACTGGTGACAGGACAAGAGGACATGGTGTTGTGCTGTGCCAGGGGAGGTTCAGGTTAGACATTAGGATGCATTTCTTCCCAAAAAGGCATTGGAATGGGCTACCCAGGGAGGTGGTGGAGTCACCACCCCTGGAAGTCTTTAAGAGAAGACTGGACATGACACTTAGTGCCATGGTCTAGTTGACATGGTGGTGTTGGGGCAAAGGTTGGACTTGATGATCCCAGAGGTCTCTTCCAACCTCATCGATTGTGTGATTCAGTGATTATTTAGTCACTTTTTTTATTGGAAGGGTACCAGTATCTTAATAGTCAGTTCCTGAGGTGTTCCAGGAGGCCAGTGTCTGGAGAAGGGTCTTAAAGCCAAAAACATTACTCAAAAATTACACCTGAAGGATGAGTTTCTGAAAGGCAAGTTTGAAATGGGTAATTTCTCAGTGAGATGGATCCAGGAGTGAAAAATCCGTTGAGGATCCGTAGCTCTGCCTCAGTTACTTAACCTGATTTAGTTTGATGGTATGTGTTAAGGGGCTAAAATATTGTATTTTCAACATCTTAGAGCAATTTTAATGTGGATTAGGCAAAGATTTGTTACTATGCTGAGAAGATGGGATGTGAAGAAAAAAATTCCAGAGTACTTTGGGTGATACTTCGTGAAAATGCAGTACTCGGATCTATGAGCACTTTGATGTAGCTAGCCCTGTTTTGGCTTTCAGTTAAAGTGGTTCTGGTTATCGCTTTTCAAGATTAATTTGCATCCTTCTTATGCTAGTTTCATCTTTCATTGCTTGAGTAATGAAGTGAAGTTTAAGAACTGTAAGATGTTTTCCTAAAATAAAATATTGTAAGAATATGGATTTTTTTCTCTGTAGGCAGCTGCCCCTTTCTCTCCCTTAAATATCAGTAACACTGAAGCATTACAGAGGTGAACTGTATTTTGAACCAGAAAGTCCTTATTTAAGGAAGTCCATGACAGACAAGATCTTATGTGTACATGAAGCAATGTAATTGATACTTACAACATGGGCTCCCTCTTGAACGTAAGGTGTGTAAGGAGAAGTCCCTCTTTGTAGACGGAATTTCTGTGCGACTTCCTGTGTAGTATTTTCTGCCTAACTTCACGGATTGCGATGTGTGTGTGTGTGTGTGTTCAAGCTTCTTGTCCTGCTTTTGGGCTACAGAAAATTTTCAGCTGATACTGAGTAGCTCTGTACTGAGCTCTATGTTAGGAATGCTAAGATAAAAACAACTCTTGCAGGTTACTGGAGCTTGGGAAAGAAAGAAGTTTGGCTGCCTGGCAGATTCCTTCCCTGCATGGGGTTATAATGCTCTAGAATCCCACTTGGGGCTACTACACAATTCACTTACAGTTTACATGATTTACCTCTGAAATATGGAAGGATGCTGGTGGGAATGCCTCCCTTACCAAGGGGAGGTTTCCAGACGTTCCTCTTGAGCATTCTGATAACCTGATTTAAGCAAGGAATGTAGGGAATCTGCATCCGTGTTACTGGTGGTACTTGCAAAAACAAGCAGGCAGGGTCAACTGAACTGTGTACTCAAGGTAATTTTTTTTTTTAAGAAATATGTTAATGGAAAAAGGGAGCAGAGGACAAACAAGACTGAAATTATTTTTAAGCAATAATCACAGTGATGGAATGATGTTTAAGTTGTGTGTTAGCTACGCACACGATCGTATCAACTTTTACATATAGATAGGCTATGCTGGTGCGTATGTGTGTTTGATTATCCAGGCTAATGTCCGTTCTAGGTAGAACAGATGCAAAATTATTGTTCAAATGCTGCATAAGGTCATAAGCACAGAGGGATTAGGGACCTCTTTTTTTTTTTTTTTTTTTCCCCCCCTTTTAAAAACAGTTCAGTGTTTTTTCTAATTCTAGTGTAGATTGCAAGGGTTTTATTCTATTCTGGCTGGAATTAACACTGATATGTAGTAGCAGTGGTTACACTTAGAATATCCTTATTTTTCTGAAATATATTGTTTCTTTTTCTGCTTATCCTAACGTAGAGTCAAGATTTAACATAATTTGGTACGCTGCAAAACTGCAAATTTAAGTTGTTCCATTGATATTTTTCAAATTATAAGGAAGATGAAGTGCTATCCAACTTCTATTTTAAGTAATACTAGAGATACTGTTTTCTTATTATTTAATGAATGGTTTTAAGATGATGTGAGCATGTTAAACTAATGTACTAGTTAGTCAGTGATGGTTTTTGCATTTATTTAGAGTTTGATTTCCATATAAAAAGAAAAAAAAAACCACTATAATTTAATTACCTGTGTTTACCTCCTACTGAAATAACTTTCCTAAGAACTCAATGTCTTTGTGTCTCTGGACTGTAATAAACAGGGACGGTTATTATCCTTTTCTATCACAAAGTAGATATTTTTGGGGAAAAATTAAGACACTAGTCTACTTCAGAATATATTCTGTCTAAAGTACAGTATCATCTAGGGGAATCAACATTAAATAGCAAAGAATGATACATTAATAATGGCTAGCCAATAAGAAAGTTCTTTTAGGGGGGAAATAGTAGTCAAATTAAAACAATTCCCAAATCATGATCTGCAGACTGTAGTAAGTTATTTATATCCTGCTCTTGTAATTGTTTCAAACTGTTTTCAGATTTCATGAAAAATTGATGAAGTTCTAGACTACTGTATGAAAGTTTCTGAGAGATGATGATGCTGGTTCAGAAAAGCTGGAAACTATGTATTTGACTTAGCAAGACCAACTGGTAGCTTAAGTACTTCCATTTAGTTCAATATTTTTTTCCTCCTTTTACCCTGTAGTGCTAGCAAAGAAGTTTATTTAGAAAGTGTACAAGAGATGGGAATGTGTGGTGATATTTATTTTTTTTTTCCTTCCCTGCACCACCACCCCACCCTCATCTGAATGGCACCTTTTGAATTTTCTGTTTCAGCTTGTAACGCTTCAGGAAGCTAAGTTGCTGCTAAATGAGGATGACTACCTTATTAAGGCTGTATATGACTACTGGGTAAGAAAGCGTAAGAATTGCAGAGGGCCATCTCTCATCCCCCAAATCAAACAAGAAAAGAGGGATGGCTCCACCAACAATGACCCTTATGTTGCCTTCCGGAGGAGAACTGAGAAGATGCAGACAAGAAAGGTAACTTCAGCGTTCTAAATTTGTCGCTTTAAATCCTGCAGTGATAGGAATCAAAATGATTCCTATCCAGCATCTTGCAGGATCTGTCCTATGGTATTCACACTTACTGATCTGGTTGTCTCTATTAATAGTTGCAATATTGGATGACCC